TCCCCCCCCGAGCTGCCTTCCCCCCCCCCCTTGCGTCGGGGGTTGCTAAAGGGGCCCCTGGCCCAAGGTGCCCCCAGCTTGTCGTCGAGTTCTGGAGGCCCTGGGGCCCTCTAGGCCTCGCGAGGGGCGCTCTGGAGGGCGTGGGGGCCCTCCTCCTCCTCCTCCCCTCCTCCTTCTCCTCCCCTCCTCCTCCTCCTCCTCCTCCTCCTCCTCCTCCTCCTCCTCCTCCTCCTACTCCTCCTCCTCCTCCTCCTCCTCCTCCCCTCCTCCTCCTCCTCCTCCTCCTCCTCCTCCTCCTCCTCCTCCTCCTCCTCCTCCTCCTCCTCCCGCCTCCTCCTCCTTCGAAGTCTTGGGGGCACCTTGGGCCAGAGGCACTCTCCAGCAACGCCCGACTGCGTTCCCCCCCCAGGCAGTCTGGGCTTCGGGCCTACCTGGAGGAGAAGTGGCGCGTCGAGCAGGTGTACGCCAGGTGCGGGCGCGCCATGCGGCGCAGCGACGAGGAGGTGCGCAGCTTAGTGGGCCCTGGAACTGGCGGGGGCGCTTTTTCACCGTCTTCGAAAAAGTGTCTCTTGAAATTTGGGGAAAAAAAGGCGACCAGAAGCTGCAACAAAAACGGCTCCGGGATTGGAGCCCGAATTGGAATCAGAAGAACAAGGGTGACGAAACGGGCACAAAAAAAAAACGGCGACAGAACCGGCAAGAAAGCGACGAAGCGGAACCAGTAAAAGAACGGCCCTGTCGTTTCCAGGGCCCACGAAGGTTCGCAGCGGGATCCCGCTGGAGGAGCTCACGCGCCACGCGCCCCGGGCCCCTGAGGTGAAGGCGCTGGGGCTCCTTGAGGACGCCACGACGCCGAGCGCGGCGCCGGCGCCGGGCTCTACGATCGAGCTGCCTGCCATCTCGAAGGAGCAGAAGCGGCAGACACCTAAACTCAGGAGGGGAAAAAAAACACAGACACAATTAATCGTCGATTCCCCAGAACATATGGGAAAATATAGGAAGTTGGGGGGAAGACAAAAGCCCAGAAAATATAAGAAAATATGGGGAATCCTGTTATTTGTATGCATTTATTTGTGTGTCCCAGGGCCCCTTCATAAGCTTTCGGAGCTCCGCGCGGGTTCCTTGGATCTCGAAAAGAGAGAACTGCATAAACATAGACTTTTTGGCGCTCCGCGCGGATTTCCTGGATCTGCGCTGGACCCCTATCCCTGGCGCGCGGAGTGCGCCAGGGGCGGCGCCGCAGGCGCTGTCGTGGGGGGGGGCCAGCGCAGATCCAAGAAATCCGCGCGGAGCGCCAAAAAGTTTGTGTTGATGCCGTTTTTTCCTCCTCCAGGGGCGGCGCTGGGCCCCTCTGGCAGCTCCTCTGGCCCGGGTGTAGCCGGGGCCCCAGGGAAGGGGACCCGGTCAGTGGCAGGGCCTCGGAACCCCTGAATTGGCCAGGATCACCAGACCAGGTCTGCCGCAGCTGGTGTTTTTCGGGTGGCGGCAGTTTTGGTCAGTGGAGCGGTGCGGGGGGGCCTCCCCCAGTGCACAGCACTAAACCAGGTTCCACTAAACCCAGTTCTGCCGACGCCCGACTGGCTCGCTCTCCGCGCGCTGGGGACTGGGGCCTGGCGCCGATCCAAGAGATCGAAGTGGACCTCCGAGAGTTTATGCCTCCGCCGTTCTCTGTGCCTCCAGCCTTGGAGATCCGCTTCGCGCACGACTCCCAGCGGGAGCACTTCGGCCACCTCGCCAAGGGGAGGGCCAGCTCCGTGCAGCGCGGGATCCTCCAGCTGGCCGTGGAGCTGCTGATGCGGAGGACCAAGCAGTGGCACAGGCATGATCTCCTGGTGGTCCGCGCGGACGTCTTGGGTCGGAGCCAGACCCCCCTCCCCGCACCCCGAAAGTAAGTCAGGAGGGGGAAAACACACAGACACAATTCATCGTGGACCCCCAGGAAGATTCAGGAAATCTAGGGAGATATGAGAAGTGGGGGGGAAGACGACAACCCAGAAAATATGCGGGAATATGGGCACCGTAGGATTTGTGTTCAACTCATTTGTGTGTCCCCGGGTCCTTTCTATGAAGCGCGGTGGCGAAGGCGGCGCTAGGGCTGTGGGGAGGGGGTGGGGGGCGCCAGCGCCGGACCAGCGCCGGGGGCGGGGTGGCGAGGGGGCGGGGCCCGGCGCCGGCACAGGAAGTCTGCGCGGACCCGTGAGAATCCATCGACTACACGTAAGAGTGACCCTTTGCCGGATGGACCTTTGCTGCGGGCCCACCGGGGGTCCCCCGCTCGCCGAACGCGATGCGGCGGCAGCGTCTTGGGCGCTTGTGCTTGGCCCCCCCCCCCCCCCCAGCGCTGCCTCGCAGCAAAAAGGCCACTCTCTCACCCAGGGTCACTCTTCCGTGTGGTCGAGTCTGCCCCGGGATCCAGCGCCGCGACAGAGCATGAAGCGCAGCGAAGCACCCCGACCCCTCGAGCCCCGCCGCTCTGCTGCACCCTTCGAGGCTCGATCCGTGAGGACCCCTTGGCGTGAGCAGCAGCCGCGGCGCCGCCCGGATCTCGGGGCGCGGCCGTGCTGCTGCTCGGCCCTCTGTGATGGGCCTCACGGCGCCCGACGGGGTGCCCACGTTCGACGTGTGCCAGCACGACGGCGCCTGGTACAGCTTCACCGGCAACCGCCGGCTGGCCGCCTTCCGCCTGGCGAGCCTCTTCGCGCCGGGCTTGGCCGCGAGGCTGAAAGCGCGGGTGTGCGAGGCGAACACGATGTTCTTCTGCGGGCAGCTGCGGGCTGCCGAAAACGTACCCCCCCACCTCCTCCTCTCTTGGGAGCAGGCAGCGCGCCACCACCACCTGGGGGGATTCCGGATGAGCTGGTGTGCGGGAGATGTCCCGCGGGAGCGCCCGAAGCGAGATACACCAGCACCACCATTCCTGACCACCCCCTGCCTCCATCCTCCAGGTGGTAGTGGTGGTGGTGCGTTTCCTTCTCCCTACTCTCATCGATACGTTTTTGCTACTTTCTGCCTCTGGGGCCTACGTTGATGGATTTCTCATCATTCGGGTTGCATTTGCGACTCGGGATGAAAAGCTGGTCCTGGTGAAGGGGTCCAGACCTCCTCCTCTGGGGGGTCCACATAGTGACAAACTGACGACTCTGGAGTCCTGAGCACCCCAGAGCCGACGTCGTACCATGGAGATCAGGGGCAAGGTTAGGGGGGATAGGCTCAGGGGGGCCGCCTCGACCCCCCATCGCTCAATCATCGCCGACAGGGCCCGATAGGCCCAGTCGCCCAGGGCCGTGCGGATTCGCTATCGGGGGCCCATCGCCGATCCATCGGCGACAAGCCAGGTCGCTGTCCCCCACCACCCCCGCGCCAGCACCCCCCTCGCCGTTGCCCCTGCGGAGAGGTGTCCTCGGGTCCCATCTCGGGATGCCCGGGGGCCACGTTTCGGCGCACGTCGTGGGCTGGGAGCCGTGGCCCCAGCGGCGCCTCACTTTGGGTGCAGCCCTCCCTCTCCGTGCCGGCGCTGCGTCGCCCCCTCTGGCGTACAAGTCGCATAGGATATGCACCGCGGACGGTGAGAAAGGGCAGGGCGGAAATCCCCGCCTCAGCAGAGCATGGCTCAGGAGGGGAAGAACACATCGTCGACTCCCAGGAAAATATTGGAAAAATGGGAAATGGGGGGGAAGACGAGAACCCAGAACATATGATAAGCATGGGGAATCCTAGGACTTGTGTCTATCGATTTGTGTGTCCCTGGGCCCCCTGCATGGCGGACGTCTCCGCAAGCGTGTGCGGCGGAGTCGGCGGCGGCGCAGAGCAGGGCGGACATGGGCGCCCGAGGAGCTTGGACAGCACAGGGCGGACGCTGCCGTCCTGCCTGCGAGATATCGCCAACCCCCCCCCAAAAAAAAAAGCCACGGCGGATCCGCCGGGAGGGAGTCGGGGTTCTTCGTCTTGAATCGGGGCTCCTCCGCCTCCTCGTCCGCCTCCTCCTCCTCCTCCTCCTCCCCCTCCCCCTCCTCCTCCTTCTCCCCTCCCTCCTTCCATCTTCCCTCCTTCCTCCTCCTCGCGCCTCGGGGGCCTCGAGACGGGGGTCAATGCAAACGGGTGTCAGCCAGGTCTGCGGATCTTGCAGGATCCTGCAGGGCCAGGGGCGCACTGACCCGGGCTTGGGTGCAGGATCCGGCAGGCTCCCGCAGGATCTCGCAGGATCTTGCCAGGCGTGGCTGACCCGGGTCTGGATTGACCCTGGTCAGTAGATCCCCGATCGAAGCAGCTCTCTTTCCCATGATTGACAAGACAGCCGCAGCGATCGATGGAATCGCTGGGGTCCCCGCGAGGCCCCTGGAGTCGGGGAAGAAGCGTCGCACAAACACAAACTTTGGATTTCCGCGCGGCTTTCTTGGATCGGCGTTCGGCCCCGCGCTCCGCGTGCTAGGGAGGGGAGGGGGGGGTCGCCAGTGCCGATCCAGGAAACCCGCGCGGACCTGACCTCCCAAGGTTGTAGTGTGTTTGGCAGTTTTTCTTCTTCTGCTGGAGGTCCCCAGAAGACCTCCAGGGAGGTCCCCCGAAGGTCTCCAGAGGCACCCCAAAACGCCGTCTGGGGGGGCCTCTGAGGCTTCTGGACGCTCTCGCTCCCGAGAAACGAGAGCGTCCCCCCCCCCCTCTCCAGAAAAAAGCAGCCTCAATCCTCTGCCCCTCGAGCCTCGAGAACCTCCCTGGGCGGCTGGGCCTACCGGGCCCTCTCGGCGATGCACGGGCGACGTGGGGTCGAGGCGGCCCCCCCTTGAGCCTATCCCCCCCTGACCCCCGTTTGCATTCACCCTCGTCATGACCGCCAGCCCGAACATCCGTGATGATCCTCCCCCTCCGTGCTGATCCTCCTCCGCCCGCGGGCGATGTGGGGTGCGACGTCGGCTCGGGGGTGCACCGAACTCCTCCGAAGGCCCGAGGCCTTCGAGTCCTCTGAGAAGGCCCGCCCCCTCTCAGTCCTCCCCCCCCCCCGGGCTCGCCGCCGAAGCCTCCGCGCCGCCCGCCTGCGCAGTGCGGTGCTGGTGCCGGCGCCTCCTCCCGACGCGCGCACGTCGTCGGGAGCGCCCGCTGCCACGGGGCACCTGGCCGCCCGTCCACGGAGATCCGTCCGGGGGGGGAGGGCCGGGCGAGCAGTGCAGGAAGGCGGGGTCGTCTGCGCCGCCCTCGGCGCGCACGCTGCCGGCGGACGGTCGCGCGCGGGCGCCCTCGTCTTCGGTGTGGCCAGCGGCGCTGGCGGCCCGCGTGAGCCAGCGGAGGAGGAGGAGGAGGAGGAGGAGGAGGAGGAGGAGGAGGAGGAGGAGGAGGAGGAGGAGGAGGAGGAGGAGGAGGAGGAGGCGTAGGGCCGCTGTGCCATCCTGCGCAAGACCCGTCTTTGATCGTCGCGCTCGGGTGTTGCCCGAAGCGTTGCCTGAGATCGGGGCGTCGCATTTTTTTTAACACCGGGCATGTTCGACCGGCTTCGGGCCCCGGGGCCATCGCAGCTCGACCCAGGCTCGAAAAGTGCCTCAGAAAGATGGGGTTTGGGGCTCCAGTCGTGATGTTTCCCGATCTTGCAATTGCAACCTTCTGGCAGCGTCGGGTCTCAGGGCAAGGTGCCCCCAGGAGTTCCAAGGAGGCCACCACGGCCTCCAGAGCACCCCTCACGAGGTCCAGAGGGCCCCATGGGCTCCAGAATGGGCCATGCAGCCAGAGACATCTTGGGCAGAAGGTTGTACGAGTAGGTACATGGATGGATACAGAGAGAGGTAGAAAGAGAGAGAGAGAGAGAGAGAGAGAGAGAGAAAGAGAGAGAGAGAGAGAGAGAGAGAGAAAGAAAGAGAGAGAGAAAGAGAGAGCAACAGGGCGGCGCGCCCGGGGGGGAGCGGGAAGGAGCAAGCCTTCTCAGAAGGCGGCGGCGCTTCTCAGAAGCCCTCCAGCCCTGCGAGGCCTTTGTTTTGTGTCTTCGGGCAAGGCCCAGAACACTTCTCGGCAGGCTGGAGGCCCTCCGAGCCTCCTGAGACGGCCCGCTCCTTCCCCAGACATCCGGCCGCTCCAACTGTTTCGAGTCCGGACCTCTTCCCCGGGGCGCTTGTTCCTCCTGAGCCGCTTTTTTGACGCTCCCGGGGCCCGGCGAGGGCCCCCTTTCGAGTCCGGACCTTTTCCCCGGGGCGCTTTTTCCTCCCGAGCCGCTCTTTTGACGCTCCCGGGGCCCGGCGAGGGCCCCCCTAGGAGGCCGAAAGCGGCCACGAGCCACGGGCTCCCATGGAGCGACGCGTGAAGACGGGGTCGTTTGCGCCGACGTTGGCGCGTCAGCTGCCCGCGCAGGGTCGCGCGCGAGCGCCTTCGTATTCCAGAGGAGCGCGCCGTGCTGGCGGCCCGCGCAAGCCAGCGCGTGAGGTCGCGACGTCGTCTCGCGCAAGACCCGCGTTTTATCGTCGCTGTCGTTTCGGAGCCTCGGATCTCGGGGTCTCGCTTCCCCCTCCCCCAGGGTTAAGTCTGGCCTGTCCTTCTACGGGGGGAATAGCCAAAACGAGTCAACAAATAATACGGGGACAATTTTTCGACCATTTTGGAGCATTTGGTAGGGTATTTTTTGGGTACTCTTGATTTTTCGCCCCAAATCCGCCTGTAGGGGGACACGCCCGACCTAACCCCGGGGCTCGCTGCAGAGCGGCCGGGGCCTCTGGCGCCGCCTCCCGAGGCAGGGCCCCTTCCCGGCGCGCTTCACCACGGCGCGGAACGGGCCGGAGTGCGCCGGCAGGTGGATGGTCATCACGGACAGCGGCGTCGGCCGCGATCTAGGCCTCCCAGGTGGGGTCGAAGTCCCAGACGCCCTCGAGTCGTGACAAAAATCAAGACGGGAGGTTTTTCGCTATATTTTCGGCCTTTGGGGGCCCTTACTGGGCCGCGGGGCCGTCAAAGAACGACCCAGGGAGAAAAGCCGGCCCTGGGGAATGGGTCCAGACCTCTGGGGGACGATGTCACGAAAAATTCATGACGTCGGGGGTCTAGGGCCGCATCGCTGATGCATCGGCGACGCGGCTCGATGTGGAGCCCCGGTTTTCTCTACGCCGACGGCGCTGATGCATCGCTGAGGTTGCCGTTGCATCGCCAATGCATCGGCAATGCATCGCGGATGCATCGGCGATGCGGCGCGAGCCTCCGACCCTGTTACTCCGACCCCATCCGGGAGGCCTC